AACCTCCATGTGTAGAGTTCGTGGCAGGCGCAGCACTTTGTGAACCTTGATGTGCAGATTTCGTGGCAGGCACAGCACTTTCTTTGGCGCTTTTTGTGTTTATCTAGGTTGTAACCAGACTTATAACCACTTAGGTCACGCTGATTTCCTGCAGACTTAGCGGGAGTTATAACTGACTTAGGATCACTTAGCTCCGCGGCCACGTTAACGCACGAGGATTGACCACGTTTGGAGCACAAGGGTTGCAAAAAAACATGCTATGTTAAGTTGAACAACCATACGGGAACCAAACAAAAGCAGGTCAAACGCTTTTTCCAACAGTTGGATGATCTAATATGTTGGAGTATTTCTGTTGAAAGACTACCGCTGTATTGAAACAAAAGGCAAGAACAAATATAGATCATTTCTTTTGCTTTTTGGCCCCACAGTCGTCTGGGAATGCTGTAGCAGCCTACTTCAAAATATCAAGGAGAAAGTTTGTTGCTTTAGACACGCAAGGTGGTGAATACAACCTCTTGACTAACACAAACATAAACAACCAGTGCAGAACCAGTTCTTTGTTTGAAGAGACAAGCCGTTCCAACAAGGTACAGTGAAAATAATTTCGATCGTCACTTACTGGAACTTTTTGAAATTTGGATTTGCTAAGCGTCTGGCGGAGGTGCATCCTTCTGCGTCATCACCAGATGAAAAGTTGAGACATCCCAAGACATCCCCGAACAAAACAAACAGTTTTGAGTGGAAAATGCAAATTTCAAGGTTTTAGTCCTGATACGGCCCTGATACGGCTCTGATACGGCTCTGATACGGCCCTGATACGGCCCTGATACGGCCCTGATACGGCTCTGATACGGCTCTGATACGGCCCTGATACGGCCCTGATACGGCCCTGATACGGCATTTTTTGCGAGAGCGGTTTTTCAAAATTGGGCCATAATTCTTTTGGGGAACATCATAATTTGGAAAAATTGGGCCATAATATATTTTGCGGGCATCATATTTTTGTAACAAACGAAGCCTCATCTTTTTTGGTTCAACAAAGAACTTGGCAGCAGATAAATGCATCAAATGTGTGGCTTGATAAATTGAAAACAATGCTGTCAGTACAAAACAGATTTGACGTGAGCCTCTTCCAACGAAACAGCCAGTTCTGACAAAAGCCGGTCAAAGAAACCCAGAGCCCCAGAGTCGACTGGTTGAAGTACTTCCTGCAGGAAACTCTTTGTATATACCAGCACAAGATAGACAAGAAACAAGGTGGATCTAATCCAATTTGTTCACACGTAGACGCAGCTGACATAGTCGGAGTTGAGCTCTTTGACGAATATCTTCTTAGATAGTTGTTGGCCCGTTTCTTGAATAAAAGCAGGGTTGAATGAAAGAATGGAATAATGCTGGCAGAAAATGTCTGCGCGCAAGCGACAAAAGAAACGAAACGCCCTCACAAAAAAGGAGTGGAAAGGAACGCTCAAAAAATGTGAAAAAGTTTACATAATTGGGAAACCCACGAGAAGCCTATGGACTTAGCTCACTTAGCTAAGTCCACTTACAACCACTTACCACGTTGGATTCTCTTTGAACCTAAGTCCACTTACAACCCACCTAACCAGATGCAAGTCACTTGTAAAGTGTGCATCACTTATAACTCAAGTATATCTCACGTAGCATGGTTGTAAGTATGCTTGACTGGGTTGTAAGTCCAGATAGCCAAGTTATAAGTCAAGTTGTAAGCCAGCCAATTACAAAAGGCACCAAAGTTGTGAACCTCCATGTGCAGATTTCGTGGCAGGCACAGCGCTTTGTGAACTTCCATTTGCAGATTTCGTGGCAGGCGCAGTACTTTGTGAACCTCCGTGTGCAGATTTCGTGGCAGGCACAGCACTTTGTGAACCTCCTTGTGCAGACTATGTGGCAGGCACAGCACTTTGTGAACCTCCATGCGCAGATTTCGTGGCAGGCACAGCGCTGTGTGAACCTCGAGGTGCAGATTTCGTAGCAGGCACAGCGCTTTGTGAACCTCCATGTGCAGATTTCGTAGCAGGCACAGCACTTTGTGAACCTCCATGTGCAGATTTCGTGGCAGGCACAGCATCTGTGGAGCTGGAAGATGAGAACTGGCGACTTTTTAGTACAACTTTAGTACGCGGAGTATCTGCGGAGCTGGAAGATGAGAACTGGCGACTTTGTAGTAGAACTTTAGTAATTTTAGTACGCTGAGCAATCTGTGGAGCTGGAAGCTGAGAACTGGCGACTTTGTAGTACAACTTTAGTACGCGGAGTATCTGGGGAGCTGGAAGATGAGAACTGGCGACTTTG